CTTTGATGCGCATTTTGGTCGTAATTTGGAAGCGCAGCTTTAGTTTCTTGAAGCAGTAAGTTCTTTGTAGTAGGATAATTTTCTACAAAATAATTAACATAAATCAATCATGCAAACAATTTAATACAAACGTTTAATAATAAAATTTTAAAACTATATGTAACTAACTTTAGTGTAGAAACTTATTTACAGTACTATAATTAAACATGCCATACAACTCACTAAATTAGTTTTTTTAACATTTATAATTTTTATTTTATTTATATCATACTTTATTTATTTTTAGCTAAATCATCTTTCAATAAATTAATGTTATTGTTATAGGTTACATTTTTAACTGCTGCATGTAAATTTAAACATTTTGTAAAACTTGATAAAGTCTCTAACAGTATATTTATTGTTTCATTATTTGTAAAGATAGATTTAACAGCTGGATCTAACAGACATGATAATTTGGCTGTTTGTGACAGTTTTAGACGCTGTTCTAATTATGAGCTACAAGCCCTTTTTAGCTTTTTTATAGGAAGTAAATCACCATTATACACCTTAAGAAGCGATGCAATTTTATGTTTGACCATTGGCAGAATAGAGAGAGCGCTCCCCCAACTCACAACTTCTGTCAAATTATACAAAAATTTTAGATACTTAACAAGCTCCCTTAATAATTGTAGTTTAAACTCATTGAGACACAGTTCTCTTTTGCCATTTTTTTTTAATTTTTTTTACTCAATTATAAAACTGATCAATAGACTTTATCATAAATAGTGCACTGTTCCACCGACCACAGCTTTAAACTTTTATGTTGTTTAGATTTATACCTTGAGTTTTCTACAAATAAATCTTTTTCTTGACATTCATCTTCTCTATCCGAAATGATAGGATTGTCATTTAGGCTTGCTTGATTTGCTTGAATTGGGAATTGTTCATCAAGGTTAACAAATTCTTTCATTTCTGCAATTTTTCTAAATTTATCATAAGATCACATCATCATTTGTACACAAAAATTCATTAGTTAGAAAAGTTGATTTGAAGCTCAAATATGTTATAATATTTCAACATTTTTTAAGCAATATTAAGACTTCAGGATATTTGTTGAGACTATCAGAAACCAATCGTTAATTCAGCACATAAGCTAAGTAATGTTGAGCTTCTTTACAACCCAGTAGTTTAGAAGTCTTTATCGTGTTTGCAGCACCATCATGAACATTATGCAACGCAACTCTTCAAACTGTTTGCTAAACATATCTTTAATAACATCCTTCATAAAATCTGCAGTGTAGTAGCAACATTTTCTGCAGTGTAGTTTTTCAGTGGTATACAAGATAAAGTGAAAATTATCTATCCCGTTCACTTATTATTTCTGAAAACTTTACATCAATAAATGATAGTCTTTTGTATTTATCTGTCCAGCCGTCAAAAAGTAAGGAAACAGCATTTGAGTATTTTAAAATAATCTTTACACTGGTCTTGACTACTTTAAACAAATCAATTAAAGCTCCGCAAGTCAAAGATGAACGTGATGGAGTGACTACACCAAAGTTTTTTTCAAAAATTCTTCTTAAAACCGGTTCTTTCTTCAAGTTGCAGCGACAAAAAATCGGTAAAAAAAAAATTAAAGTGCAATGTCACGAGTAATATCAAACTTTATATTTGACGCAGACTTGCGCAGCAAGTATATTTCTTTTATATATTTCTTGATATGTTTCTATTTTTTCTTCGGTAGTGATTTTACTAGTGACAATTTTGTGCACTAAAAACAAATCGTTTTTCATGTTTTTACTAAAACTTGAACGTTTTACTGAATGAATAATCTTTAAATATTTTAAAGAAATTTAATCTTTAAATATTTTAAAGATGAACTTTCATTTGCTTCACGACGATGTAAGATTGTATAATCTATTGATATCTTTTCATATTAAAAAAAATTTAAACAAGAAGAAATGTACCCTGAAAATAAAGATAAAATTTTTCGGGGAAGCAGGTCTCGTATGCGATTGCAAATACTATCAAATAACAAATTGAGCCAAACAACAGCGCGCAAAAGTATGAAGAAAATCGTTTTAGAATTAAGTTTTTATTCAACATTCCTGACTATAGTACTAAAATAAAAAAAACTATAGATCTAACACAAACCATATAATTCAACCGTTCAATAATAATAATGAAATCTTTTAACTTATTTTTAAAAACAGGATGAGTTAGGGATAAGCCGTATTTTAAACCGTTTTTTCAGCGGCGATTA